CGGTGAATAGTGGCTAAATATTTACCGAGCTGCGAAGCGGCGAGGTAAATATTCCCGAAAGCCACTATTCACCTTGATTTCAAAGAATAATTGTTAATTATTTTTAATTGCAAATAATGTCATTTAACTGGAACAGAGCCACCTCGAATAATTGTTTTAGTATATACACACGAAGTGATCTCGTCAAAATTAAAAGGAAGCCATTTAAAGGCAATTTCTGCTTCTGAAACTTCAGCGAAACGCGAGTTTACGCCCGCCATTTTGTTTTTCACATTATCCACTCGCTCGAAGGTGTACATTGTTGATTAGTCCGAGACAGCGAACCAATCAGATTGCTTGAAACGCCAAGATCACGGAGTGTGTATATACTAATGATCATTAGCAAGGTCGCATTTAACTGATTCCGTAAATTTTGAAAGAGAAAAGGATTTAGGGCTTCACTTACAGAGTTCCATACTTTAGGACTCTTAAATCTTATGTTGAATATTCCATAATTTGTTCTTACTTTAGGTAAAGTGTAGAACATATTCAATGCACCTCTTCCCCCCTCCCCCCCTCTAAGCGTGCCGAGTGACGAAATGTTATGGTTACTACCTATTAGTAGGCGTCATCATACAGTCCATATGATTTATTTATGTCGTCAAAAATCCGTCATCACAATCTAACAATAGCTTTTAGAAATCTATTTCCCCTTTCCCCGCTTAGGGTGCCAAATAAAATGGTCCATACCTATTTTCATTTCAATGTCAGTACTAATGGCGTTACCTTTCTGGTTTTGTTTTGAAGACATTGATGACTGTGCCAGCAATCCCTGTCAGAATAATGGTAGTTGTTTAGATCTGGTAAATGATTACCAATGCGTTGGTTGTTTGTCTGGATACTCTGGATAGAAATGTGACATAGGTCGGTAATCATGTCATACTTTCATCTATGGAGTACCTTTAGTGCAGATGCATACTTCTTCTTAATTGTTAAAAGTAACCTTTTTAACCGAGTATGTAATATCGATACACGTGGGATGAGGTCTTGTCGTTTTAATTGGAAGTTGCTTTTGGCTTCAGAAATAGATGAATGTGCTTCCAGTCCCTGTCAGAACAATGGTACTTGTACAGACTTACTAAATGAATTTTACTGCAACTGTTCGGCTGGATTTAAAGGATCAAATTGTGAAATAGGTAAATGAATCTTTCACGATTCTTAGTCATAATTCAAATATTTAAATGTCTTGTCTCGCTGATATTTTATTGCGCTGATTATTTCCCTGCCACAAATGTATTTATGCCCTTTGTAAATTTTAGAGGGTGGGTCATATTCGATAGATTTTGTTTCTCTGCCATGCTCTCCGTACTCTGTTGACATTTTTTTTTTCACAGCAGCTAGTAGACTTTTCACACAATACCTTTCTGATAAGTTGAATTTATTTCTTGCAAATATCAACGAATGCGACAAGAATCCTTGCGTCAATGGATCTTGCAAGGATCTCGTTATCGAATTTAGTTGTAATTGTACTCCGGGTTTCACTGGAAAGAGGTGTAACATTGGTAGGTTATGTCACTCAATGTAAACAGATTGTTTGAGAAACATGCTCAATGGTCTTTATCGCCTCTGTGAGTGCAATGACTTTATTGAAACAATTTTCTTGTGTTAGAGGTGAATGAATGTGGAAGTAACCCATGCCACCACGGTGCTACGTGTAAAGATCAAATTAACGGTTTCACCTGCATCTGCCCTGCAGGCTTTGGAGGACCGAGATGTAGTCAGGGTATGTAATTCTCCGGATGTAAACATAGAGAGAAGGAGAAATATTTTTCTGTCATTATGGATTGGTTTCCCAGTTTATTAGAAAAAGCAAATTGCGATTTATTTACGGGTGAATAATAGTGTGGTTTTCGATGTATTTGCCACCGTAAAGATGCAAATTCTAGTTCGCACTAATTTGTTATTTCATAATATCTGTAACACAGAGACTGAATTCTTTTTGGTTGTGTGGCTTAAGTTGAAGAATATGACATTCACACTTACCCTTCTGAACGAAAGTTCTACTCTGTACCAGAAAAAGGAAGATGAAGTCATTCATGAGGTACTTAATGTTAAAGTTAGACGTGGACAGGTTCTGAACCTATCAGAGTACTAGGGCGACACGAAAGTATTGGGAACCAAGTATTATATGAATGTGAATATGACATCGCAAAAAAGTATACGGATAAGTCCGCTGATAATTATAAATGAAATTTAAGAATCAGTTTGTGTTACTAGTGTTGACAACGTCAACACGAAGTCATAAAAATTATAAAAAAAGTTAGATTTTTGTGATTTATCCCCTCTCATTTAATCATTACGTTGAACTGGCCAGGATGAAATCTAATCTTAGCCATAAGCTGCTTTCCTTCTTGCTGATATCTTTCTGAACTTTTTATAGTCATGCCGATCGAAATCCTGAGTTTGTTCCCATTCAAACCGTGTTCTTTTCTGGTATGTAGGTCTATAACTCCTTGCTTTTTGATGAAAGAGATCACTTCTTCGGTTCAGCTTTAAGGATGTTCAGGTAAATGAGTTTCAGGTGAAGAAGAATTCTTGAAAATGGTACACGGCTTCTAATGATTGCCTGCTCAAGAAGAAAATATATAACATATTTTCTGCTTTTCGAGTGCCTAGTGCAGCGAACGCGGGACACGTGGTGCACTGGAGTTCGGGAAGTGCCAACCATAGTGCAAAAATATACAACACAACTTGATTCAACAGCATTTAATCTGATCACCGACTCGTTTGAATATTGTACACGTGCGGTGAACACTGAAAGGGGAAAATTACAATGTACAAGATAAAGGAAAGTGCTAAGACAAATAACAAAAGAAGCGAAATCGAAAGGAAAACGAAACGGAATAAAATAGACTGCAACTTACATCTGATCCTGTCTTAATAATTATAGCCGGATATTGTACAATTTTATTACGCTTTCGCAAAACAATGTTTACAAAAAAGATATAACGTAAGTAGAATATATAAAATAGATTTTCATCTGGAGAATAAAGGGCGATGAACATTGAAAAAAAGGACTTTGATAACGTAATTACCTTCGTTCTAATTTAAAATAGGTGGAGTTCTGTTTTGTTTCATTATCGAGTTTACCCCCATGTTTTTCGTATAACATTGTTCACAGTTTTAATCGCTTACGTAGCTAGTCGTTCCTGTTTGAACCTGTTTACAACTATACTCTTATTAGAAAACGCCCCACCCCCTTAGTATTTCGGAGTTGGAGTTAAGAGATCGAAGGAGTCACATCGGCGTGTTTTACCAAAATTTTGTCTGTTCGAGTTACGCAACGTTGGAGTTTCTTTACGCTTCTCTCTACCGTACGGGCTACCGGCGGGCGGAAAAACGCAACTAGTGTTGACATTCAGTTTTTATTTAATATCTCAAGAAATATTTACAGCAATAACACCTACAATATCTCATTTTAATCTCCATATACTGATTATAAAGTTATCGATTGGAAAATCATGATGCCAGAAGTAGAGATAGAATATTTGACGCTCTATTTTCATTGCGTTTTTTTCTTCCAGTCCTTCTGAGTTAAAACCAAATGTGTTAGCCGATATTCTTCTCAGGACTCTAATGAATAGCACAAAACACATCATGGCCGTTATTACCAAGAAGTTTGAGTCCCACACGTACCAAGGAATCTTCGATACCGGTGATGGACTGGTATTTGAGGATAGAGGTAAGGGGCATTATTAGTATTTCTGAGAAATGGCGTTAGGTTATTTTTCAGTTAGGTGCACTCTCCTTTTCAGCCTTTACATGCTGGTTCATTAGAACGCAATGATGATGGTGCTATTTTATGATAGATTTAATTAGTATATACTAAAACAGTGGATAGCGTTGAAGGCGCGCTCTGATTGGCTTGTCAAACTCCGAATATCCTTTGCTATTTACCTCCGACCAACTCGGGAAAAAATGGCGTCCCGGTTTGTATCCATGACAAGCGAAGAAATCACTCAAATCAATTTTTGGTGGTGTATATTATCTCACTGTTTTAGTATATACTAAAACAACTATTCACCTCAGTGTCGGTGGTTAGCAGTGGATATTTACCTCGCCGCTTCGCGGCTCGGTAAATATCCACCGCTAACCACCTCCACTTCGGTGAATAGTTGTTTACTATCGTTAAACAAACGAATTTTTAGTAGCCATTAGTATTCAATCCTTGATTCTGGAACACAAAAATGAGCCCAAAACTGTAAGAGAGATATCCAAGGCTTTGATAACTCGTCTTTTTGTGGTTGACTCCCGTTCCAGGTGATCCATCCTGCAAGCCTGTTAACATATCTTCACCCACAGTAAATGGACAGCCTCTCTCTACCGATATCACGCAGCCAACTAAAGTGAAAAAATCAGAGGACTTTGTTTTTTCTGCGAAGTTAGAATCAAATTGTCGCGTATCGAGTTTAATTTCAAAAGTTCACATCGAAACAGACATCTATGCTATTAACACGATATCAGGATATTTTAAACATAAGAGGAAAGGTGTTCTTTATCCTTATGCTGATTCAGTCAAACAAACAATCCCTAGTAAAACATTGGACTATGGCCATTATTTCATGAAGATCATCGGGATCTCAGATAACAAAAGAAAGATCAGCAGTTTTGGTTACATAGAAGTTACGTCCACTACTCTGGTGGCCAACATATCAGGTGCAAATCACGCCTCTCAAGGACTAAATGAGAAACTGACCCTTAATGGTTCAAAGTGTTATGATCCTGATGTCGGACAAGGAGTCTACACTGGAATGAATTTCACCTGGCTTTGTAGAAAAGAAAGTGAAGTATTTCCGGATGACGCGACAACACTTCCCGAGGTTTCCCCTCTGGCTGGCTCAACTCTTCCACAAAAAAGGGACCGTGAAGGCTGTTATGGTACTGGTGTGGGAAAACTAAGACCGAGAAATGGGTTTCCATACATCCTCGATCTTGATGTCGATAAAATGGAAGGTGACGAGGATTACGTCATCAAGCTCGATGTGAGGAAAAGAGGGTTGGTTGACTTTGCGCTTCATCGACTTCGAGTCAAAGAGGAAATTCGCTTAAAAATAATGTAAGTATTGATTCAACAATTCGATTTAACTGTGGATGTAATTTTAAGTATATCAGTCGTGTTTGGTGCGACCATTTACCAATTTAAATCCCATCCTTAATTAAGTGATGTCATTGACTACATTGTCATTAAATATTCTAGCGACGACTGACACGTGTTTCCCACGACAAAAACATTATATTCAAAGGCGGCTTTTATTAGAGGGTGTAATACAATATTCAGTTAATTTCTCCTGAGGAATAATTTTTTACACCCTTTTTTCAATCAACAGCTGTGAACACTGTAAAAGTGATGTGATCCAATCATCAAGACTGATCCTGGAAACAAATTGCACAGGTCTCCTTTGCAACAAAATCCAGCAGTACTCTTGGTCAATCAAATATCGCGTAAAAGATGATGCACACTGGCAACACGTAATAAACGAAGATGAAGTAGTGCTAACGTATGATAATTCACCAAACTTGATACTGGCGCAGGGAAAACTCCATGGTAACGCCACTTATAATGTCACAGTAACTGGAAGAACCTCACGAGGACATACGTCCACTGCAACGTACTCGTTTATGACGAATTCGCCACCAAGTGGAGGAGAATGCAAAGTCAACACAGCTGAGGGGAAGGCCTGGAAAACTGACTTCGTGTTCAGTTGCAATGGCTGGTACGATGAGGAGCTCCCTCTACGGTTCACGTTCAGCTATTATAGCAGTGAGGGCATTGAAATGGTATTTCAATCGGGGACTTCAAACACAGCTATAGGAAAATTACCGGTTGGAGATTCGAACAGGGATTTTAAATTGCAAGTTCAGATGACTGTCGCTGATGCATTAGGATCTATAGTGAACACTGGGGTGTATGTTCAAGTAAGTCGAATACCAGGCATAGTGCCTAAGTACTCAAGACTGCTAGTCTTTCCACGGGTTGAGACGAATTGATCAAAAATGGAACTCAGCTTTTAATCGTATTTTGAAAGCGATTTTCAATTTCTGCTTTAGCTTAAATTTTTACTGTGTCTAGTCAAGTAGGCTATGCTAGCATCAGCGATGAATTTCCTTTTTTAATGAAATTTTTTGAAATCTAAATACAAATGGCGTATTTTAACGTTGGTCACATATGGATGATATTTAGCAAAACTATCGTCTGGGTTTATCGGCCGACAGACAAACAAAGCTTTGAACTAGACTATATGGGCTGATCTAGGATCTTGCATTCAATGCAAATCTGATTGAAAGTAAGTGTAAGAGGTCCTCTTTCACAGCTTCTAACATCTATTACAACTTTAAAGGTTATCGAGCCTAAAATATCCGTTGAGATTCTGAACAAAGAGGTGTCCACAGAAGGACCAATGAATGAATATTTAAAGGAAAACAACATAGAGAAGGCGGCACAAAGAGCGACAGCTGTTCTGTCAGTGGTCAATCACGCACCGGTGAATGAGATGAAGACAAAAGAGAAGATCAAGGTTCTTACATATATCTTATTAACCAAGCGCGAGGGCCGTACTGGGAGAATATCGGCCCGAGGTCTTGAGGTCTTTTTTGGTCTCCGAGGTCTCCGAGGTCTTTTTGTACGGACCGAGCGTAGCTCGGTCCGTACAAAAAAGACCGAGGCCCGATATTCTTCCAGAACGGTCCCTAGCAAGCTTGGTTAATAAGAGATTTATTATACGACTGAAGTTCAAAGGGACACAAGTGCGGTATCATTCGGGACCATTCGGGACAGTGCCCGGTCCAATACTTAGAGAATATTGGACCGGCAATAGAGCATTTTGATTGGTTGATTTTACTTATTGGCCCCTGACTGCCCGAGTCGTGTAATAAATATAGATATTACTTTATGATATAGATGTAGCTGAATATCTTCATGAAAACTTTCAAGTCATTCAATTCTTTTTGAGAATAGAAAGCATTCTCAAAGATAGGGTTTTCGCCATGAGGCTAACACTGTAACTCTAAATTCAACTACGGCTACAAGTTTAAACGAGACCCCTCTTCCCAGGTGTTATAGGATGACAGAAATCAGAACAGGCGCCCAAGCGTAGCATGTGTGCATGTGATCTCGGAGTTTAAGGGCCATAAACTGAAATTTCTATTAAACTGAAAGACTGTTTTAACTGGAATAGTAAAAGCCAAAATGTCCCCGGTAGGAAATCTATTCCATAGTCCTTTTTAATTTTTTTTTTAACTATCAATTTTTTTTACTGCACGTACAACGCTTCAAATGCAATCTAGATTTACCATATAATTGTGTAATATGTAGGGATTATCGACTTCAATGAACGAAAACGTGATTTAATACCACTGAACTTGGGTATAGAGTTACTTCCCAGGAAACTTTGGCTTTTACTTCCCTAGTTAATACACATATTCAGCATACAGTATTAGATATTCCAGCTTATGATCTTTAAACCCCGAAATCACACTTCCTCTGGGCTGCCTATGGAATAAGGATCTCCGGTCTCCACCTAAATTGCCAAAACGAAAGACAAATCATCTTCATCGTAGATTAAAGATGCCATTGTTGACGCTTGGTCGACGGTTAAAGTAGCAGAGTTACAACAGGTGCTGCAGGTTTCAGCGGTTGTTGCAGGCGTAGCCGACCAACGAAATGAGCTCTCAATTGAATCCCAGGTGAGAATCCGCTGACTTGTTTTCAATTATATCGCAGCTTGAGAGGTTTGTTAGTTGCAGGGTATCAAGGACTGTTCCTATCAGATACTGCGCGCCACATGTATATCAGCTAGCAAATTTAGATGTATTTGACACTGTATGTGTAGCTTTAGGACATATATAAACAAAACCCTACAATTTTCAATAATACAGGCTTTATTAATTGGTCATTCTAACCTTCTTTTCTTTTATGGTGCCCTTTATTACCCGCCACTGTAAAAATCGAATTTGAAAACCGATGAATTTATGATAGCCTGCAAACGATACAAATCTGTTCAAATTTGCTACTTTAGACTGTATGATGATGATGATGATAATGATGATGATGACTTTATTTAAACTCGGATGAAAATGAGGCTTGTTAGGCAATAGAGATGCTAACATACCGAGAAAAATATTTGAATATAAATTACAGAGTTTAAAAATAATATAAGCCTAAATATAAATGATGATATAAATGATGATGATATAAAATTACAAATTACTTAGTTTTCTTATTTCATTCCTGAAAGGGCCAAATTCGGCCATCAATCTTAGCTATCAGGTAATGCATTCCAAGCCTTAGCAGCAATGTAAGAATTCGACTTGAGGCCGTAAGTTGTGGTCTTAGCTACAGGTAAAACAAGTTTGTTTTTTCCCCTAAGATTTTTCTTATTTTCTCTTACTGTAGGACCTTTATTCGTGGTTATGGACTTTTTTTTAACAGCGCACGTATTTCCACCATGCCGGATTGTAAAAGAATAACAAATTTGCGTTAACGTATACCCCTAGCTTGATATGTTGTGGAGCGGAGTAGACCTATTGGAACGTACAGTAGAAATCAAGTTTTAAATAAATGCAGTTAGTAATCAAAATTTAAAATTAGAATTAAGAAATTGGTGTGGAATCACGCCGGAATTATACAGATGAAAAGAGTGAAGTTGGGATCGGAGTTGCGAGGTTATAATTGAAGGTTGTGGCCGAATTTGTGGTTCGAACTAAGAAAAAAAAAAAAGCAGAAACTAAACTACGAAAAATACCCTGGGAAATGTACCACATACCTAACTAACAATAAAGCGATTATAAGGAGAACTAAATGAGAGAAACAAACCAATAATACAGACAAAAGGGAACTACCAACAATTAAGACATAGAAATACTTGCTTTGGTCTCACCTTTGGTTAGATGGTTAGCAGGTTATTCGTTGATAGCAGATAATTCGTTGATGGCAGATAATAAGTTGATAGTAGCAGCAGCAACTAAAAGTAGTAAAATATGAAATATAAAACCTAAAAGCTGATTGAAATAACGATTTTATTAAGTAACAATCATTAACTAACGAAGGATTAACTGTTAAAAATAAACCAGACTAAAACACAGATGAAAAGTACACGAACTTCACGTTGCGAAACTAACACACATTACTCCATAAAGCTTCTATAAGATTAAAGATTCATGCATTTTTTTCCGTCTCACAAAAGGAGAAGGCAGTTAAGATGTTGGATTCTATGGCAAATTTTATGGAAAAAAGTGTAAATAACAAGTCAAGCTCTGAAGGATCTGTCGAGCATGTGGGAGCAGCATTGTTAAATGGATTGGGAAACTTGCTGGACATTACTTCTCATGAAGCCAAGGAAGATACAAGCGGAGAAGAATTACCACCTGTTCAAATCACTCATGAAAGAAGAGAGAAGGTGCTAAATGCAAATTAAATCATTCCATTAGATTTATATCATATTTTACATTCGCAAGTTGATAGCTTTGCACTTCAGTTTGTCTTAAAAACAATCCTATTCTAAAGATAGCAACGTTGAGAAACTGAAATTACCATGCCTGTTTTACACTGGCAACATATACGGAAAAATATGGAAACATATGGACACATATTTATGTAAATGAGTTCGGCAAGAAATTATGAGTTGAGTTCACTGAGATCCATTTTGCTTTTCACCCTAACTTTAGAGCAAAGCGTTTTCAAAACGAATACTAAACCTCGTCACTCGTCTTGGTAGCACAGTTGATAACACAAAAAAACTGTACGAAAAGCCAAGCGTGCTCAAGTCCAAGTCTGTATCCATGGTACTTGACCGGCAAATTCCCTCAAGAATTGGAAATAAGTCTCTAGTGTACCAGGACTCCAAAGTTACACTTCCGTCTGTTGAAGTCCTGATAGGAGAAGAGAGTAGAAACAAAGAATATCTCTCTACTCAGGTGAGTTGAGGTTTGGTGCTGATCATGGCTTAACCCTTTTCTATCAAGCCACGCATACATCATTTAAATTTGCACGATTACTGTTGTTATTTGTTTCTTGTTGGAATTAAGAGACAACATTATGTAACTGCGTACATTGCAAGGGTATTTGATATGACACCTATTGCAGCCTAAAACACCCACAATGATTCCCGATTTCCATTGTAGTGAACCGTTTATATAATAGCAAATCCCAAAAATCCAGCATTCTGCTCCAAGAGCAACACTGAAAAAGTGTCTATCTTTTAAGATCAAAACTTGCTCAAGAAATCAAAATTTTACATTCAAAACACACCTCAGGGCCAGATCTTGCGGTTTGGCTGGAAAATTCTTTCTCACTTTATCCGCTGGCCCTTGTTCCTCCGTTTGACGAAAGCTAGTGTCGCAAACACAACCTTTGCCTCGTTTATGACCGGAAAGAATTCTGGGAAATTCCACCACAACTCGAGAAGAGAACGCCTCACATTTCCATTTTGACAAATTATTTGAACCGTGTTGGGCCACCCAGTCCTACCAGCAAACTATCACATCCATCGAGACTTTTGCCGTTCAAAACTGGCCCAAAAAGCATTGATAGGTCCTTGTAGCCATCTACGGATGGGCTAGTACGATGGCCCAGAAGGGTCACAGTCCAGTTTTAATTTTTGACAGTCCAGTTTTAATTTTTGACAGTCCAGTTTTATTTTTTGACAGTCCAGTTTTATTTTTTTTGACAGTCCAGTTTTATTTTTT